TGGACGTGTTCACTTTTGGTCTGCATATCCTCGTTGTTTTGGTCTGTCAGCCACGTATCAGGTTTCGGGCCATCTTCACTGGTTTGTTATATAAACAGGGTGTGGGTAATACAATTCTTGGAATTCGATTGGATGGAGTGCATTGTCTCCCCCTGCTTATAACCCTGACCAGTAGTGTGATATGACAACTGAAAAACATACGAAAACCGCAAGAATAGGCAATCAAAAATAGACGGAAACAAACAAGTTACATGTTGAAAATATTATAGTTTAGATCATCCCCCCTCATTCTGGTCTGCCTACTTTCGCTGGTTTAGTCTGTCTGACAGGTTTTAGCATATCGCCATCTTCAGTGATGAGTAAGTGTGATCTGACAACTCCACCTGACAAACTAAAATAGCTAGGATAAGCAGACCAATAATGGTCAGAAACTACCTAGCTATACATTGAAAATATTGTACTTTGAACCTTCTCTGATCATTCCGATCAACCTATTCTCCCTGATTTGGTCACCCTGATAGGTTTCAGCATATCGACATCTTCCATGTTGTGTTAGTGTGATTTGGTAATTGCCAGATATACCAAAATTAAGATAGCAATCAAAGATAGTAGGAAACGACCAAGCTAATGTTCAAAATATTGTCTTTTAGAACAAGTCCGATCATTCTGATCTAATCTTGCTTGTTTAGTATGTTTGACAGGTTTCAGTATATGGCCATCTTCAAAGGTGTGTTATTGTGATGTGACAACTGGCCGAGATTCTTGGTCAGATGCGTCAGAGACTTCTCGCCTTCTTCGGTGATGGGTTTTAAACAGGGTGTGGATAAGACAACTGTCGAAATTCGCTTGGAAGTAGTACATTGTCTCTTAGTGCTTATTAACCTCACCGATAGCGTGATCTGACAACTGTTTGCCAAAGCAAAACGGCGAGAATAGACAATCAAAGATGGTTTGAAACGATCTAGCTACACATTTAAAATATCATTCTGGCGCGAGTATCGTCCCCACCTCACTTTTCTAAAAAACCCAAATAAAACCCACCAATATACGATAAAACATGGAAATAGACACAAACCAGAGTGACAGATCAAAATGATGAGAGATGGTTCACACTATGAAGGTAGTTTGGTCGTTTCTGTTCATTTTTGGACAAATTTTTGACATCGGATTTTCGCCTTCTTCAGTGTTGGGTTTTATAAACATAATTTAGATAGGACTACTGTTAAAATACGCATGCTATGGGAAAATACGCATGTAAAATTTGCATAGAAGGTGTCTGTGGATAAAAGATTTTGTGGATTGTCTCACCGTGCTTTTAACCCTGGGCGGTAAAGTGATCTGACAAGTGCTTGACAAACCTATATGTAAAAATGTATGGTATTTAGTGACCACTAATTAATGATTATTTGGAGATCGTGCCAATGTTTCGACCTTTATTGAGATCATCTTCAGGGCGTGTGATTTATTGTTTAAATTATACAAATACATGTGAGAAGTGAAAAAATGAATTTATTCAATGACAGAAATTTTAGACTCAATCAGAGTGTTTGTATTCACTCAAATTGGTCGTTTTTTGTGTTGGTGTGTCATTACTGTGTGTCGTACACGTTTTTCTAAACCTACCTCACGATCTCCAAATAACCTATATGTAAATATCAATGTGCCCACTTCAGTTGTTCGTCTGGGTAATAAGTAGGGAAAGACTCTTCTAAAAAATCAAAATAACATCCACCAATGTCAATATGCTGAAACGCGTCTGACTGACCAAAACAACAAGAAATACAAACCAAGCACGGTCAAAACCGACCAACCTACAGTAAAATTATAACTATTACAAATTGTTAAACGTTAAGAAACTTTGACTTTCACTTTTATTATTATTACATCAAACTAGTAGATACAGCATATCATTTATTATTTACATAACAACTGTTCAATGTCACTACAAACTATCGGGATTAACATAATAATACGAAAGCACGGATTTGCATAAACGTTTTCTATCTATTCAATTAGTTAGCGTGATTAAGGAAAGGCTTACAAGTTCATACTATTCTAATAAGAACAACCAGGATTAACGATAAGACCACAAATTACAAACATAACTGAAATTCCCAAAGGAACAACAAATCTTCTTCGCGTCCCTCCTTCTTTTTTTCTCTACCCTGGGAGATAATACGAAGCTTTTTCTCAAGAGGCATTGGATTTTCGCATTGCTGCTCTCAGTTGGCAGTAATGGCAGATATAAGATAGAACGTTTAAACGCTTAAATTTGACGTTTCCTGCTGCGGTTTTCCTCTCCCCAAACGAGATAACAGCCCAATTAACCGAAGGGATCCCCATTGTTCGAAAGAAGCCGAATCGGAGTTTTTCCGAGAAAAAGCCGACAAAGTGATTAATTAAGTTGTGTGAAAGCATCCAGGATTTATTCAGACAAGGGATAAATAAACAAGAGTAACATAAAACGCTATTTCGAACACCTGAAATTACAAGAAGATTGTATTATTATGCAAACTGTATTATTATCCATCGTAATAATAAAATATTGTTTTTAAAATAGCATAGCATGAATGGTCCAATAAATCTCTCCTTTTGTGTGATTACTGTAAAAAGGTAATACTTTTTCAGCAAGGTTCACAAACTCGATGTCATTTAGGGTTAGAAATAATGAGATTTTGCCTAGGTACAAAGTATTCTAGGAGATGAACGTCTGATCATTCTATTGAAAACGTCAGAATCAAATTTAGAATGAGTTCATCGCCGATAGACAAGATCTATGTATAACCTGACAGTTCGCCTACTTCCTTGACCACCGTTAAAGTCTACGCCGCTTACGAGCTTTTTGTCGCATATCACCGTGAAACTGGGTCGCATTGTTTCAATAGACACCGGTTGTATTTTTTCAACCCGATATCCATCCCATTTTCAAGTTTCTTCATGAGGACCTTAAATGTGTCAATACGGAGCTGATTTTGACAAGTTTCAACAGAGGGGCGGATGATTGGCTCAATGGATCAATTTTCTTCTTTCTTTTATGAGGAGATAATGCTTCAAGGAGAAGAATCGATAGATGATCGAGGTTTTAAAGAAGCTAGGATCATAGTAAAACGTTGAAATTTCTTTTCGAATTTTTCATAAATTATCCTGGAAAAATCAGTATGCTTGTGACCGCGCTTTTATCATTTCATTAATTACAAGAACAGCAGCCGCAAAAAAACTTACCTTTGCCTAATAACATCTGTCTATTAATCGATAAGCGGTCATTTTGATCAATCCGATTCGATTCGATCGTAAGAGACGATTTGAGGGAAAGGGAATGCGGGACTCGCGATAAAGTCCTAACGGAATTCCCAAACCGGCGAACCGTCCTGGGAGGAAATTCCAGTTCTCGAGTTCCATAAACGATTTTTACATAGAACAGTTGACTTCAACTTGCATTTCATCGGTGCCACCGTGAGAATTCTCGTGCGACCCGGCCGGCCGACCATACATGGCTCTAATTATTCCAGACAGCCTATTAACGAGTCCAGTTAGCCAGTAGTAAAGCATAAAACTCAAAGAAGCTTTGTTTTTCACAAAACATGTCTGCAAGTGTCTATTTGGCGACTATAATTCAAGCCGTTTTCCCATCTTCACGTATCACACATATATCATACGTAAACATGCAGCAGCTGACACCATTTATAAATTAAATAACCATTTATAAGAAAAATAGCATCCACAATTTATTAACACTGAGGAACACTCGGCTTGTTTGCATAAAAAAGACTACAGTTATGACTAAAATAGAAGAATTTGTAAACGATGTGTTCCACAAAAAATAAAAAAACGTACAATTTTTCTCGTTAAAGTGATAGCTGAGCAACGTGATATGGTAAGGTGGTAAAATGGTCGCTAGTGTGTACGGCTCATTTGCAGAACGAGGGAAGTGCAAAGTGAAGAAGCAAGTATGAAGACCCTTATGCTTTTACACAGTACCCAGTTGAATAGAGCATATCCAATAATGATATACATATTTAGAAACCTTGTGACATGTGGCATGTCAAAATTTGCGTCGAACAGTTGGGGACCATAGAACAGTAAAGTGCCAGATATGTGCAAAAACTGTTTTTAGCGAAAACCAGACCAAACAAAGCATAGTCAAAATGATCATAAACGACCGAATTCATTCAAACCTAGGATGAAATTTCACCATTTTCGCTTGTAGCATAGAATAGAATCGTATGTCAGCAGTAGCTATTACAAGGTGGTATCAAAGGCATATTAAAAATACAATACACCAAAACTAAGAAGTGGGTCAACTAAAGAAAAATAAATACTCATATTTGTAAAAAAATCAATCGTTCGTTCGAAATAAAAGCTCCCATTTTCATTACATTCATAAATGAAATTAAAGACATCCAATAGACTGGGTTTCTGCTTTTTGTTTAACAAAAACTCAAGTTTATCTAAATTAGACACAATTTGTTTCAGCCTATACGAATAAATAAGTTTTGGAGAACCAATCCCTGTGGTTTACATGAGACATGATGCAAGGATCTTTTCAAAAATGAATACTTTTATCGAGAAATTTAATATGTATTCCTTTAAGTTATTGAACAGTGACTGATCCCATTTCGATCCTTAAATAATGACTAGGTCTATTTTGCTTAAAATACCGATTGTGCTTAGGTATTATGTTTAATAATTTGAGCCCTAAATTGTTTACGTTTAAACCCAAGTTATCCGACTTCCTGGAAAATTGAGTGGAAATCCTATAAACTTGAGTTCTCAAGCAATTTACTTGAAAATAACAGTCTATGCCACGATCATTAGATTTCCTGTGCAATTAATATAAAAAATTCTCAAGTTTGCACGAAAACGTCCGTTTCCTTGGAATCAGGTGGAATGCGTTCCAAATTAAACATCAAACCTTTTATAAAATGTGTGGTGTTTAGTGAACCAGACCGTATCTCACGATCTCCAAATAATCTTTTATAAAATGTTATGACCTTAAAAGTAAGCCATGAGAAGGCGTTGTGACATCGTGTGGAGATATAATTTCCGTGCGACGTGGTAAACCGCGGAAAATGGCCATGCCCCACGCCAGGCGCACCCACACGCCTACCACCCTGAAATTAAGCGTCTAAACGGCCACGGGCATAAACAACGGCCGACCCGGATCCACGGCAGAATGTGAACGGCCTTTGTCCATCCCTGTGCCCAGTGACCCAGTGGAATCGGAGGCTCCCGTGGGCGTTCATCGGAGGTTCAAACACCCTGGACTGCGACCCACGTCGGGGCGAGGCGTATGGAAAACAGCCCGGATCGGAGGCCCCCACCAACCCCGGCAAGTGAACATGTCGCGGGAGGTAACGGCATGCACGATCTAGGGCATTGTTCGGAGTGGGGGCTACTTCCGAACATTTCTTCGGCCAGGAACAACCTTCTTCAGTCAGACTCAAGACCTTGTGATAAGTGCAGTCCAGGAGTATCTCAGCTGTTTTACGACAAAGGTGCTCCACCGACACGTAGAGAACGCCACCACGAATACCCTAAGGTATAGAATATACTTCAGACTTCGCTTCAAATACTCCACAAATTTACTTGTTAATACAAAACATTCCTTTTCCAATATGAAAAGTGTTTATAACTCGGCACAAAGCCATTCAACTTGTATCGCGTAAAAACCAATCCTACATTTAAGTCCTTGACTATTAGCCCTGAAGCGAGAACTTGGTTATTAACTTAATTCAACGAAGATTTCTTATAAAGGTTGTCTATCACATCGTCTTGCATAACTTAGCACCGGCAGCTGCAAACGGCATTTAATATAACCGTTTTTGCCAAACAATGGTAATTTAATAAAACCACTAAATCCATGCTATATGTAAGATTACATTTATCGCATCTTCCTTTTTTTGCATGGAAACAGTGTACATCAAAATTTTTAGTTATACCCCAAAATGAAGTTCGGCAATAAAATTTATTCATACATCTATGCATATGTTTTTTTATGATTGTGCCGTTTAAGTTACTTGAGGTGACGAAAGTGACAACCGCGAAGGAGGTTGAATTGAATACTCTTCATTAGTTTTAAAGTCTCAATTGTAAATAAATATTTACAAGTTTTTAAAAATAAATTAAAATAAATTATACTTGAAAACAGGTCGGACACAGAGGAATTTTATTTTTTCTAAAAAAACTGTTACGCTAACCATGTAAGACTGTCCTTCATTACAAATGTGCAGTTCTGAAATTTAATGTATATTAATTTTCATTAATTTCACTATAAAATTACTTAAGAGTTGATGATACAATTCGGTGTCATAACACACATATTTTATATTTGAATTATGTCATTCATTGTGGCAGACATTTCTGGGGGACAAGGGTTGATGTTTGTGCTCCTCGTTGTGACCTAGGGGTTGAAACATAGTATTATAATTTTATTAAAAGTCCAATTAAACCGCGTTTGATGCTCGTTCATTTGTCTCTACCGCAAAGAAAATGGATCGAAACAACTATTTTGCAAAAATCCCATTAGTTAGAAACAATTTTGTAGACGTTATCATCCGCCCTGCCCGATAACGCTATCTATCCCACGGTGAAACGATTCCGTAATTATCCGAGATGGTGAGTCCAACATAATTATTGTAATGACGCGATTAGGTGAATCTCGGTGAGAAATCGCTCTCAAATTTTGTCATTGGCCAAACTGAATTTTTTTTTTTTTTTTTTTTTGAGGGAGGCACCGTTAACCCGCCTACATTTCCTGAGACTCTAATTCTTGTAGCATTAACATATTTCTAAGTCATATCCACACCAAAGGATTTATATAATCTTCGATATTATACAAGTTTAAAGCTGGAAATGAATTTCTGCTTTTCATGCAAGGAATACCTGTAAGGGTTATTTTGCAACGCAGAATTGTTAGAAGCTCAATTACCTCCTGTATTACGTTAATTGGACGTCATTAATGCGCTTCCTCTACTTCTCGTCGATGTAAATATAAAAGGGAAAAAGATGAGGCCAGAATGTTAATTGGTCTTATCTAACTCGTTCGTAACTTCGCGGATAAATATAAAACTCAACGAGTGTGGATACCGTTGTCATGGTGTCTTGGATGACAAACACGGGTACAAGGGACAATTTTACGAACGGTTGACTTCGTTTACACGCTCTTTTTGAATGCCGACAACCCGGTGTCTAATAAAACTATAGCCGTATTGCAGTCAAACAACGAAGGTGAAACTTCTAATACCCCAGGTGCCTCTGGAAAGCAGTAAGTTTGCTTTACTCAATGTTCTTCCTCAAAAAAATAAATCATCCAAAGATGGGTGGTCTTTAATCAAACTTTGTACAATAAATAACTTAAGCCCTCAATTACCAAGCACGTTGTATATTGTAAGCATAGAAAAAGAACTCTGCGAAAATTACGGAAGAACCGTTTTTCGGGAATGTCTGAGCTTGACGTTGAACAACTGTTTTTGGAAGTGAACAGAAAATAGCAGCGTCGATTATAGTGTGCACCTCCGAAAGGCGTAAACCGCGCCCATTAGTCGTCTTCCTGGTTTGCATGGAACTTTTATTTTCAGCCGGCTGCACATTCAGGGATTGGTACGTGCCGGTATTGTCCGTGCGAGTACTCTTTGTGGACGAGGTATTGTTTTCTCAAAGGACCGGCTCTAAGTGCCAAGTAAAGATGAAGAACAATAATAGTACAAATTGGATTGTCATTGGCTATCAGACATGTACGAAATCGTAATTTAAACGTTCTTCTATGACTATTATTTTTATAATAATAAAGCTATTAAAATATGTAGGATATTTTTAATGCGAATCTCGAAGGTACCCGAACCCACTTTCACGGCTTTGACACTTTTATCCGAGGTGAATGGTTGAATGACTCCGACCAAGGTTATTGGACATTCCCCAGACTTGTAACGCCAAACAAGTCCTCGCCCTTTTATCGTCTTACGATTCATTTTTGCCTTTTCTGCAGGAAATGAAGCGGAGTCTACGATCGATTATCCTGGTCCTTTTGGTCAGCGCGGGATGCATGGGACAGGACATCACTTCGGCGGGCGAGGTGCTGGCCGAGTGTGACCCCGAATTGCTGGGATTCGAACTGGTCACCGGTTATGTGTTCACCGCCCCAGACGATCTCCTAGACTCGATACCCGGAACGCTTATGCTCACCGACTGCCTGGAGGCCTGCCACGCAAACGAATCTTGCCATTCCGTCAACTACGAGACTGGACTCTGCGTCCTGTTCGCCTCTAACGCGGACAACTATCCGGGTAAGTGAAATTTATTTTTTCTACGCACAAATATTTGCTAGTAAAACCCTCCTCCCAGTAATATTATTCTTAGGTAACAATGATAATTTCGTCAAAAAAGATTTCATTTCAATTCATTTTATTAACTGGTTAAGCTAAAATAAGTTATAAATAAAGAGATGAGAGAAAAATTGGTGGTTTTTAAATTACAGTGAGTCCTACGATAAGGAACTCCTCTGTTTAGGGATCTGGCATCGAAGATTAATTTTCTATGCATTTAACACTTCCTCTTAGGGGACACTGTACTAAAAGAAAAGGACACTTGCGTCGCCCTACAGTAAATCATCAGTGAGTACAACAGTAAAGATACCACAGCAGCGGACAGGCTAAATTTTGTAAGATTTTGGTATTGTGATTGCACATGATTTCTGTTTAAGTTCAGATATTTTTTAATGTTAACATAGCTCTGACCCAACAAAAATTGACTTTAAAAGAAACCTTTCTTAATTTATATGAAACGTTTTGAAGACCAAGTGTAAGAACATGAGATAATAATTTTAATTAATTATAATGTTAGCCTAAGATCTTGGTTGAGTTGAAAAAGCATCGTCACTTTGCTTTTTTCATTTCAACCAAGACCTTAGATTAAAATTATAATTAATGTGTGGTGTGTAGTGACCGTTAGCCAATGATTATTTGAAGATCGTGAGATGTGGCCTGGTGTGACGTATGTTTTATAAAAAATGTTCTTTATCGAGCCAACGTTTCGATCTTTATTGAGCCCTGAAGATGATCTAAAGATCTAAAGATCTTGGCACGATAAAGAAAATGTTTTTCTAAAACCTACGTCACACCAGATCGCATCTCACAATCTCCAAATAATCATTGGCTAACGGTCACTAAACTCCACACATTAATTAATTAAAGTAATTAATACGGTCGATTATGACTGCTAAATGCATATATAGATTAGATAATAAATTTAATCTTAGCATGCTAGGAGGGAAATTTTTAAAAGATCGTGAAGACATTGAAAATGTTACATCTAAAGCTGCACCTCACATGTACTATCTGAATATATACAGACAGCTATGGGTTATGATAAAAATCTCTCTTTAGAGGACACCTCCCGAAAGAAGGAGAAAGTAGTAATATCATGACTGTCCTATGTTTTCAATGTACATAAACAGTATTTTAATATTTTCGTTATTACGAATAATTAAGTATATTAAAAATTAAGCACGAATCAACAATTTGCAGAATTTTTACTAACTATTTTGATTGTGAATCAGTAAGGAATGAAAAGACCCCGAAAGGAAGCTATTAGACATTTTCGTCGTGTCATGACCGTCTCGTTCGAATCAAGGTTACTATGACTCATTTATGTAAATTTGATGCCGAAAACCGTTTTCCTGTGGGCGGACAATTCCACACTTTGGATTTAGGGCATATAAGTTTTTTTCTCCCTTTCTTTTTTGCAAAAACAAAGAACCGTTTTAAATTTGAGGTCGGCTAGTTTAAAAAAAGTAATATATCAGTTTGCGGTAGTGCTTGTTCAACAGAATATAAATTGAACCGAGAAAAGAGGACCCAGTATGAGAAACTACTGGTCTTTACCTCGCGTGCTATTCGCCAGAGCTATAGTACGAATTTAAATTGGGCTTTTACTCCCAGGCCTGCATAAATGTACCATTTCGGATGTTCTGGAAGCGAGCTGCTTCTCTTCAGCCGGCGTACACGATGTCAGCGATATTCATATGCTCCCTTCAGAGAAAATGATCGATCCTGAGAGAGGACTAATGACTGGCAAATTATGTTCGTGCTTCGGTCATAGGGCCCCGTTATAGTAATCTCCTAGGTAATAATGACGTTTTTGACGAAATATTCGTTTATTAATAATCGACTTTAAAATGAGTGGTTATTTCCTTCCATCGAAAATTACCGATCGAAATAGCCAAAACAAATTAGCCTATATATACCCGCTCGATGGTAGGTTTTTTAGAATTTCAAAACAAGGGACGTTTATTACAACAATTTCTTTTTAATAGGTATGATCTATCTATTATTCCTTATTCCTAACATTCCATGCAGTTAAAAATGAATCGTGCTTGCGGAAATTCATACAGTAACGGCTGGAATGACCAAATAAACCGTTGGAACAATCTTTTGAGTCGGCTTTCCTGAGAACCCCACCAGATTCGCATTCCTTAGTGCTTTTAAGGCATGGATGCGCCTCGTCGTTTTTCTTTCCCGATTGAAGAAATGTTTCGGGAGAAAGGTGAAAAGTCTTCTCGTCGATACGGAGATCGAGTAAAACACCGAAGTTCATTGGCCACTTTTTTTAATTCAGCCTTCGATATGAGAATTTATTTATAATACACTCGTTCTTCTGCGGTCGGTGTCGGTTTATTTTTTAGTATTTATTCACTTCAGTGAATATCCGAATGTTCTGGCGAAATTCCGAAACGCATGACTGGAAAATTCCGCCAAGACTACCTGGGTGAACAGTCTGCGGACCTAACTTAACTGGTTCTCAAATTTAACCAGAATGAATAAGATTAAAAAGGAAAGAGCTGAAAAGTGCTAAAAACTTTTTAATATTCAACATAATGTGTGTCCCGCTCGTAACACTAACTTTTCATCTCAACCACACTTTATATAAAAATTATAAAACAATTTAAATCATTACTGTGCTTAATTTTGACCAACTAAAATACAGTTAACAGCTCCCCGTGGCCACTTCATGAGCCTCCAAGAATCGAATCCAATTACACATAATTTGAATATATAGCAAAAAGAAGGAAATTTGAAAAAAATTTAGGATGAGATGATGAATTGGTGTCCCGGGAGACCGAAGTCACGATAGCTCAAATGGTTAGGAGAACGGAGTATAGAGCCGGGTTCGAGTCTCGCTCATGACACTAATTTTTAACTCAACCACACTATACATAAAAATTATAAATCCATTTGAATCATGTTGAATATTTTAATTATCATTACATTTATTAGATTTCGTGGTCCTCTTGACCAAATAAATTCTTTTCAATTAATTAATCTATAATTAAGGTTTTGGTTGAGATAAAAATGAATTTGAAAAATGGCAAAAAGGAGGGAAAATTCAAAAAGGTGGGGTTGAGATGGGAAGTTAGTGTCCGAGTAGGATCGAAGACATGATAGCTCAAGTGGGCAGCGGCCTATTTAGCCGAAGGACGTGGGTTCGAATCCCGCTTGTGACACTGACTTTTTTATCTTAACAAAACCTTAATTAAAGATTAATTAATTGAAAATTATCATTACAATCTAATATCTTACAGGCCTAATTCTTGGGTTCCTTCATTTGATCGATCATTACAATGCATGGAATGGGGCTCTTAGGAAAGAAATTATCAATTTGATTAACATAATTTTAACACCTTTTAAATTGTGCTAATTTCCTCTCGGTTATACCAGGTAACAAGGTTAGGAAAGTAACGGCGAAAAGACTTAACACCAAGGTGTTTAAAGCTCATTTCATCTCTAATTAAATCTATGTTAATAATACTAAGTGCCAGGGAGCATATTTTGCTGTAGAAATCTTAAAGGACAATTGTTTAATCAGCCAAAATAATTTCAAATAAGTAAATTTTAACATCGTGGACGAACCTGGATATCATGTGATACGGTGGTACCCGCATCGCATCCTATTATGGTGATCCGATTTTCCCGTATGAAGCCGGTGTTTCAAACCTGCTCCACCTGACCAAGCCGTCTGACGTTAAAGGACGGACGATAATGCTGAGTGCGATGTATGTAAATATTTGCATACCACCCAGAGAGACTAATGCCAGTATTAGTATATGTTTAAGTACGGCGCCAATGCCTTTTAAGAACTTCCGCATATCCGACCAGATCCCTCAAATTACTAGTTGTAAGAAACCATTAAGAGAACCATCCATTTGTGTCTTCTCATTAGAATATCTGTACGTAGAAATACTTTACTAGGTACAAGACGTTGATTCGATCGTTTAGAACAGACCATCCATACGTCCATTTAGTAAACGAGCATCTAACTGCTCCACTTCAATCTCATTCAACAGAAATATTACCTGTTCTTTTTTTAAGTTTCAAGAAGACTTAAGCGAGGTGGTTGGCCTCCTTCCTCTTAAACGGAATATGTACGGGAAGTTCCCAAAACCTGTTTTCTTATTAAGCTTGTTAAGATAAACAGTCTTGTCACAATGGGGCTTCCTCAAGAAGCTTAACAGCTTCACACTTTCTGCTACTCAAAAGTACCAGAAATCCTTTGGTATTTGACTACCCAGTAAAATCTCTGGTTTATTTGTCCCGATAGTTTTGTTCGTCCTTTCCGACATACTTTGTTTAACTTCTAAGGAAGGATGATGAAAAAGATAATTTTTTTTATAAAGTTTAACAATGCATATTTTTGATGTAGGATATCTGCTAATTTATAGTTTATTTTCACATGCCCATCCATTGTGGAGTTCACCTCATGTGAAAAATATTCCCAGACGAGCTTGGATGCGAAAACAAAAGCTTTTAACGCTTATAGAACAATTTTATTTCGGTCGATCACCCTGCAGACCTCAAGACGTATTTCCCAGAAGCGTACAAAAACCAGCGAGAGTAGACGGACCAAGAAAAGTAATCAGTGTTGATCAGTTCGTTAATTTTTTTTAAATTGTATTTTTCGATTTAAAACGACCTAGTGGGAAGATTTGGAGAAGAATTTTGCTAGTAAAGCCCTTAATTTTAGAAAAAATTCGAAAAATCGAAAAAAAATTAAATTTTCTTTTTCGATGTCAAACGCCCTCCTGGGTGGATTCGTAATAGAATTAACCTAGTAAAGCCCTTACTTTTGGAAACAAACTCGAAAAAACGAAATTATTTTAAATTGTCGCGGAGCGACCAATTCCGTAACGTTGATCCCTGAGTAAAAGTAAGTAATTCGAAACCACTTTATAATACATTTTTCATGCCATTTCTATTAAAAAAACCGTGGGCTATGCCGGGATTAGAACCCAGAACCGTGAGCAAATGCGATTCAGCCACCCTAACCACTCGACCACCACAAACCCTTTTGTTCATCTCTAATGTTCAATACTATAAAAATATAATATTCGACAATTAAACTTATAAATATTCTCGTTTATACAGTTCTAATCTCGACCTTTCTATAGACATTTTAAGGATATCAATCCCTTCTATGTAAATAATTCCTCAGTTGTAACTTTCCGAATAGAAACTTGAAAAATAGAAACTTTGAAACTTAGCTTGCACTAGCAAAGATCTAGTAACTACAGAAAGTTGTTAGAAATGACCTTCTTCTAACTTAACCTTATTGTTATACTATGGCTCTAGAAGCAGAAAAGGTCAAATATGTAGGTTTCAAAAGTATCAGTTCGATCTGTTATTAGTGCCAAAAAGGAAAAGTGCTTCTTTTTATTTCTGAGTTGTGATTCCTAAAAGACTACAAGATACAGTTTAAAAAAGAAATTTATTTCTCAGAAATGGTCGAAGCAAGACAAAGTCGATACAGTATACAACATGTAAATAGATTCAGTTTATGGTTAAGTGTCTCTTGTGATTTCTAGATGTTACTGAAGTAAAGGCGTCCGGATTCCGTAGAAATAGGTCTATCACAGATTAAAGTGGACAAAGAAGACGGCAATTGTAGAAACACCTTCGGACCCCGACTGCACTACCGCTATTCGCACTCTTTTTTCCCCAGAGGCTTTCCCTCACAGCAATTACCGAAGGGGAGACAAAAGTTTCCAGGACTTTCGGAAAGGTTTTCCCTTTTCCTCACCTTCCTCTTCTTGACCTACACATCTAGATCCAGACGTAATTTTTTTGTTTGTTTCCGCGTTTCTCCCAACGGCTTTTTCGGATCGGGAACGATACTCGAGTGGGGTCAACTGCAGTGCTTTTATCCGTCCTTGGGCACTCCCGTGACCCAAAGATGAAGAAACTCAACTGACCCTCCACTTGCTTCACGTACGCACTCCTATTCAGAAACAAAGTCTTCATTCTCGCTTTTATCTCTGCTGTCTTCTTTTCTTATTCTGTCTTTTCCGGTCATCTTATTTTAAATCTACTTGTCACTTTTTTTAATTTACATATATTAATTAAAATTACGACTAAATCCACAGCATAAAATTTGATTAGTTATTAAATAATACACTTTTATTGGAACTATTTCAGACAGTCAGTCAATGATTTATTGGTTCAACTTTTTAATTATTAACTTTTCGTAAAGAGAAATCTATAAAGAAGCAAAATCCCTTGAAGGTAGAAGAATTTCGTCCTCATTTTATTTATTTATTTGTTCTCTAGAAGATTAGCCGATGATTTCAGTTGTTATTCATTTTGTCCGGTTCGCAGCCTTTTCTTCGGCGAGTTGCCCAAGATTGAACCCGTCCTCCGATTTAATAACAAAGTTACAAGGACTCCCGACGAGTTCGTTCACATTGAAGAACCAGTTTTATATATTAGCATTTCCACTTTTAAAAATAACCCAAGCCAGGAAGTGCCGCCCGGCTCATTTGGGTATTGCGGAAACGGAGTCGGGCTTCCTTGACGAGAAAGTCCCAGAGAAACCGCTTCTTCTTGATTCAATTTCGGACCCGTAATGTCGGGTGTAATTAGCAATGTAATCGCGTCCGCTCGCCTTCATTAACTTACGACTCGACAAACAATTCGGGACTTGTAAGCCTAAAGAAACATTTGCTTTAAAAAGCTCATACAATAATAGCTGTGGGAAAAAACTCCGTGGGTCAAACTTAAAATTTCTGACAACTTGGTCATGTTTTACTTCAGGGAACCACTGTTTAAACAAAAAGTATCGATCCCTATTATTTTTAACAATAACCGTTACTAAAATGTCATTTTTAAAAAAACGATATGAAAATTCATCCAAGTATTTTCCTCACACTGACATGACCGATGATAAAACGATAAATTCGTCATCAAAAATTCTTTGATTAAATTGTTTTAATTTACACAAAGTGAAAAATAATCTGACCAGTTCCCAAACGTGCATTGTCACAGGTCAGTGTCCCTTGTTATACTACACCGTCGGCGATCGAAAGATACCCAGAGATGAGTAAAACCTGAAGAAGGCGGAAAAAAACAGTTTTTAATGCCAATAACCTGCGAGGAGGCAAGACAGGTTTGACATCTGGTACCATCCACGAACGGTTAGCAGATGAAGCACTAACTGCGTGAGAACTGGACGTCTTCGAAGAAATGCGACTCCGCGTTTTGCTTAAATTGAATTTGATGTAAATTTAATGTAAAGGATTTTGAGATAAAATCAATCGACATTAAATTATATCAAACTAATAGGAAATGCAATTTTTACTCCTGAGTTCTGAAGGGTGATAAAATATAGATTACTCGTTTCTGATCATTCTGGTCTGTCAATTTTTTTCTTTTTGCTCTCTTCAGTGGTTTGCGTTTTGCAATGACCACAAACCCACCAGTGAGAGGGTCGAAACTTTAAAACGCGTCTGAAAAACTAAAATGGTCAGAAATAACCAAGCTACACTTGGACACCGTAGGCATATTTTTCGATATACAAATTACAAAAATAAGATGAAATGTTTTAAATTTTGGTATTCTTTTTCTGAAGTGAAATTCCTCTTGGGGTCTGCAGAATGGTTAACGTGTAATTTAGTCGTTCCTCACATTTTGCTCTGCCTAACCTTGTTCTTTTGGTCTGGCAGACAAGTTTCGTCCTCCTTTAATTTACAGGTTAAACTGTAATTTACTCAGTTCAGTGGTTTGTGGAGTTATTTTATCAATCGTGTCTTTTGTTTTTACAAGTTTTATTAATTTTTAAAATAAGACAGATCACACTAGCCAACCCTTTGAAAATGGCGATATGCTGACGTCTGACAGACGTAATCAGCGAGTATAGGCTGGTCGGAATGATCAGAGATGGTACAAACTACAATATTATCAATCGGTAGTTTTTGGTCACTTATCCTCGCTTTGGTTGTCAGGACACTTGTCAGATCACACTAACTCAACATTGAAGAAGGTGATATGCTGAAACTTGTCGTTCAGATGTAACCAGAGGGAATAGTCAGATCTGTTTTGGCAGTTAACACTGACCCACAACTGATGATGACTTATGTCGGACCAAACTAATTGAGTTGTACTTGTCGATTATCCTGTGATTGAACAGTCCTATTCCTACAAAAGAGAGTTAAGGCTAAATCTGTGCTAAATCATTTACAAGAACTTGACCAATCTGTCCGTTTGCTTTCTAGTTCAAGCAGCAGCATACATTCTACCATTAGAATCGTTTTTCTTCTTTACTATAAACAAAATCACTGTTCATTCAGTTTTCCAAGTTAAATTTGTTTTGTTTTATGTCCGTCTATTAATAACTAAATACATTACTTGTCTTGTACTTATTTATCAGTTTTATTACATGTTAGACCTAGACAAGAGATATTTGTATGCGAGTCGGTTCTTGTCGGTTCGATATCTATATATTTATCGATTATAAGCTATGTATTTATACCGAAATTATTTATCTTTTTACAGGAGCGCTGACCAAGTCCCAGTTCCCAGTGTTCACAATCTACGCCCAGAAGATTTGCCTCGGTGTGAAACCGTGCGAGAAGGCGTGGTGCTTCGACAGGGTGCAGGGGTACAAACTGCAGGGTTTCTCCAAAAAGAAGCACCCGGCCAGCTCGCGCCAAGAATGCCTGGAGATGTGCCTTGGCGAGAGAGAATTCACTTGCCGGTATGTTTTTTTTTTTTTTTTAATTCTTCTACCCAAGGCATTAGAAAAGACACGCGCGATTTTCCGCAGTCTGCACGAACTGGACGTTAAGGTAGTCGACAAGGCGTTTATCGTCAAGCCCGGTCCTCATCATCATTATAAAAATATCCATTACATCAGGTGGACAAAAAGTTGCAGGGCAACGGGAAAATTGTTTTTCTCGCCCCGGCCGAAACAGCATTCACCCGGGCAAAGGTTGCCGAACTTCGCATAGTCCCCGAGCAAAGTTTTATAGCATGTAAATTTGAATGATAAACAAATACAAAGAAAACAGGATATAGCCAACTTTAAACTGCAAATGATTAAACAGAGTAACCGGATCTTCGTTAAGTGCGGTGCCCATTAATATTCTAAATAAAATTTCAATTCCAGAAATAAACCAATAAAAACAAAATAATGTTTCAATGTCCCAGTAAGTCTTTAATAGTAAATTAAAGAATTAAATGTCATAAACGTCAAACTAAAGAACTTAAAATAAATCAACAGAGTAACGGATCTTCGTTACAATTCGGCCCCATAAAAACTAAAAATAAAGTTTTGTGGTGCTACTAGGTATGGTTAGGGTCTTAATGTTGTCTTAATGTTCCATGTTCCGTACAGAAATACATCTGTTATCAATAAATTTGGTTGTAAAAAGAAAGGAACAATTTTGATTGGTTCTAACGTTTAAAAGCTAAACTTCGGTTTTTTAGATATAACTTTTTACGTTAACTTATTTTGATATTTCTTCGAGTAAAAGCAAATATAATACGTCAAAATGGAAAGATTAGGGCGAATACAATGAAAAATTAAAAGATATGGGATATTAAAAGATCCAAGCATTCCGGGGTTATTATTTTTTTTTATTTTTTATTTTTTTTACTTTCGGACTATTCCATTTTCCATGAAGATAGTCATAACGTCTAAAATATAAAAATTCCCCAGGATTTCTTGGTCTTTTCAATGCCCTTCATCTATATTATAACCGGGGATAATACAAAAAAAATTGAACTGCTTGTTAGCAGATTTCATTCGTATGTGTAAAGATTTGAAAAGTTTGAAAACATAAATTTGCAAATTTTGTTAACACATTTCATTTGTTTTTTGTTATAGAAACAGTTTTTCAAATATCTGAAATAATACATGTCGAAAAAAGCAGCTATGGAATTCGATTTATCAGAGATGAAAGACGATAAGGATTAGCAAAATTCAGCACAAATCTGCTTTTAAAGTGGAAAATGGTGTCGAGATCTCCACCCGTCCACCACCACGTCTTTAGGTCTTGAAGAGTATAAAAACAACCCCAGTACATGAACTAATCTCGTTACACTTGGTGACACCTTGTTCCCGTCTGGTGCGTTGAAAACATTTACGATTCGAGAAGGCATGCAGTCGGGCAAGATCAACCTGAATCCCTGAACAATCCGACTAGCACAGGAGCAACGTGAGAAAACGAATGAATACGAAAACTGTGCCGAGTGGCAAACGGGGACAATACGTGATAGCACGTCCCATTCCTCCGACAGTTAGACATTCACTTATTTAGGACGGGCCACCCCACACGCGTTCCCACTTTCAGGAAATCCGCAAGGCTCTCGCCAACACGGGGTGTGTAAGTCTTAAATTTCGTTTCTCCGGGATCGTAAAATTTTCAACGCACGAGAAGTACACAAATGTAATTAATATTTAATAACCGGGGAAGACAAAATAGACGACAGTAGTAAATCAATAGCCTCCATCGGGTAACTTCTCACGGTTTTTATCGGCCACTTTTTCCACTCTGCGTTCTGGGTTAACACTAATCTGTGACTCTTTCCCGTAATTACGCCACGGTTAATGACCTCGCGTAAGTTTAGAAACTTACGTCGAAACCTGGCCAGTAGGAACTGCCCCGGGCCTACTCATAAATAAGAGTCATTTGAATATAAACGAGTTTGAGATGAGCGAGTTAGTTGAAAGGCAGTTGCCGTTAAATCCAATGTTTCAACGGCCAGGTCGTGCTTCGGGCCTTGAATGGAGATCGTGATAAGTTAATACAGACTAATAGTAATGTTAACCGTGTGAGTGTAAATTGAAACAACTTTGAGTCAGACGTGCATCGCTACCAAGTGAAAAACCGTCATTTCATCAGTGCTCCCAATCACAACCTGTCGTGAAATAACAAACAAAAAACTTACCACGTTTCTAATGGAGATTATCCATTTTAAAAGGTATTATGGAGTGGTATTTTCAACATAACAATTGAAATTTTTAAGTTAAGCGTAACACTTTAACACCATTTTGTCAGAAAAACTTAGGGTAATCAATGTCAATTGGATTCTACAGTTGATACCAATAAATTCAGTTTAATACGACAAATGATAGTAGATTAACAGTCCATTTCAACTATATCCATATCAGCTTTCTGAAAGAACAAGAATCTAAAGACCAAGGTGCAGAAAACAATGGCAAATTTGGTATTTAATGGGCCCAATCACACCAGGTAGTTTTCAATTTTTGGATGGCTCAATTGTGTTCTTTCAGTAAAGGTAGTTGCAAATCTCGGCAATTGTCTTTTGTGAATAATCTATCAGGTTGGTGATCCTCTGAACCATATTCAACACACTGTAAGAGTTACGGTCTAGTCAGAAAATGGTGTTGTACACAATTTTAAATTTTAGTTTAGACTTAAAAGTAACAACTAAGAGTCTATGGATTGAGTACATTCCCAAATACTTAGTAGCATCGTCTTTTGGTTTCAGAGGCAATGTTTATTTTTAATTTCTACTTAGTTGGTTTTTAATTGTGTTATGCACTTGATGGTGTCTCTTCAAATGATTTTGTATCATACTAATATTGGGTTGTCCGGAAAATAATGCAGGATTTTGGTATTAAACAAAAAAAAAGAAACTAGTTACTTTAAAGCAATGTTCTTTAATCAAAATAATTTCCCATACTCTCAATACATTTCTCCCAACGTGTTGGTAACTTATTAATTCCGTCTGAGTAGAATTCAGAATTTTTAGAATTGATAAAGTCAATAAATGCATTTTCCAGTTCCGTTTGATTTTTGAATATTATGTGTTGTAAGTAGTGGTCCAGGTGTCTAAAAAAATGGTAGTCAGTAGGCGAGAGGTCCGGAGAGTAGGGTGGGTGAGGCAAAGTTTCATAGCCAAGCTCCAATAATTTTTGTGACGTTACACGTGACACATGTGGTCGAGCGTTGTCATGCAACAAAATGGGCCCTTTCCGATTGACCAAAGAGGGCTTCATTACTGCCAATTTCTGATGCATGGTATTAATTTGGTTACAGTATGATTCAGCATTGATGGTTTCGCCAGGATTTAAGAAGCTGTAGTGTATTAAACCAAATGAAGCCCACCATACCGTAACCATTACCTTTTTTTGATGAGTTGGGGGCTTTGGAAAATGTATTGGAGCTTCTCCTTTGTCGAGCCACTGTCCAGAACGTCTAGTGTTATCGTAGAGAATCCACTTTTCGTCACATGTAACAATTCTGGCCAGAAATGGGTCATTTTTGTTTCGACAAAGAAGTGATGCACAAACATCAAAGCGCTGATTTTTTTGGCGATCGTTTAATGAGTGTGGAACCCAATTTTCGAGTTTTTTCACTTTTCCAATCGCCTTGAGGTGGTCAGCGACGGTCGTTTTACTGACTTTGAGTTGCTCTGCAAGTTCTCGAACAGTTGTTTTGGGGTTTTCTTCCACCACTGATCGCAGAACATCATCATTAAGAGAGGAAGGCCTTCCACGACCTTCTTCATCTTCAAGGCTGAAATCTCCCTCCCGAAATTTTTTAAACCACCTTTGCACAGTGCACTCATTAACACAACCCTCGCCCCAGACTTGGTTAATGTTTCTAGCCGTTTGGGCTCCGCTTCGGCCGAGTTTAAACTCGTAAAAGAAAATCGTACGAAATTCTCGCTTTGACATTATAAGGATGACTGAATTATTTCCAAGTAGCGGAATGCTACAGAGGTAAACAAACAATATCATTTGGAAGAGGTGAGTAATCCTGTAAACGTAAACAGAATATTTTATATAGATTTTTTTTAATGAAAACTTAAAATCCTGCATTATTTTCCGGACAACCCGATAGTAGTTAGGCGTCAGATTCTACTGCGGACGTAGGATCGAATCCCACTGTCCTCTCAGGATTTTCTAAAAATCCAGGATAAAAAGTTGACACAATACTTGTCAATAGAAGGTCCCGAGGAGTTTGAATCTCAGCGATCCAAAAATGGGTTTCTTCAGTGGAACACCATCATGTAGTGGGTAGTGCCCAGGGGGTTCCACTTCCGATTCCTAGGAATCCATTTAAAAAAAAAAAATTAGAACACTTCCCTGGGTATATACTACTGTGTCATCTGCAAAGAAGACTGTGGAAAAATTGGTCTTGATATCACTAAGATAAAAGCTGAACAATATCAATTGAAAAACAGAACCGTTGGTGTTCTCGTTAGTGCATAAAAAAAGTTCTAATATCATAAAAAGAGGCTCCTGTGCCCTACAGAGCCAGCGTAAGAAGAAGACATCTGCCTCCATGTTGTACACAGTTTTGACAAGATCTTTCAACTCTGCAATTGTTTCCACTTTAACATTCTTGTGGTTTTTGATAACCAAGTTCAGATTCTCCACAGCAAGTCCGTTAAGCTCAAGAAAATCTAGAAATGCAGATGACATGTCACGTCCTCAAAATTTGTACGATGGTTTCGTGTAGTCTCTGGAATGATAGTTTTTGGGCAGAAATTAAAGTAAATGTTCGTCCTGGTGGGTCGTAGGTGAAAGTCCTTTCGCCCCCCACCCAAATTTGTACTATTGCTAAATATAAAGCCGTTCCTCTCGTGCTCTGCGAAGTCATGGCATGTGATGCGCTCCCTTTTTATAAATAGAAACGTGGGGCGGTCGAAGTGAGTCGGCGAATCGCTGGAAAGGCAATTACCCGGACATTTGAGGGCGCGTTTGTGGGTCTAACGACTCTTTGGGCCCGCGAGGAAATGCGCTCAAATGACTCGACGATGAACGGGGAAGACAACGACTTTCCGATCCGAGACTGTCGGCTCCCATTAAAGACAAACGAGGTGAAATAATTCAAAACATTACCAAAATTGGATTGTGAGTTAGTCGCTTGTCAACGTACCGTTCTAAACCCAATTCACAGATTAACAAACAACCAGTGTTAACATGCGATTTCGATAATTACTTCTAAGTCAAAATTTCAGGCCCAAGGCTGGTTAAAATAATATTATATAGTATTAAATTGCTGTGTTACTTATATAGTTATAAGTTGTGACAGATTGACATCTACCACCATCCAATTTAAGCTTACAAACTAAAACACGCACTCCAAGTTTATATAGTGGCACCTATGACTTATCCAACGTGGTCGTGATTCTGGACGAATATTTGTTAACGATTTATAAGTCTGGCCTCGAACCATTCTCTAATGGTAATAAGTTTCTCCCCTGTCAAAAGTTTTCTCCTGAAGTTATATAACGGAGCATCGACCCGGGGCTTTAATTGGATTTATCGGGCCCCGTTACATCCAAAACCCATTTCTGCCGTTTAAGATATGTTGGATGCAGACAAAAAATGGGTCATTTAGGTCTAATCTTGTTGTAATTTGGTATAAAATAATTAATACCGATACGGTTCAATTTGGAACAGTTTGGACCAAGAGAGATTGACGAAAAACTAGAAAAGGGTGATTTTCGTTTTCGAATCCTCCTGGTTGTTTTGGTTGTGACAAGGTGCCAAGATGACAATAGTATTATTACTATTCTGAAGAAATGATCGGTCCAGTGATTCAACAGTGGTGAAGAGTAGGTTTTCTTATTCATTCGCCCTTATGTCGGTCTAGAAAAAGATCAGAGGGGAGGGAAAATAAAACAAAAACAACTTGCTGGTAGCCTATTAGCCAGAGCAATCGTGGGAAGCTAATAGTCGTACTAAGCACCTCGGCCAATTAGAACTTTTCCATCCCTGGTTCGTTCGACCATGAAACATTCTTGCATTTCGGTGAATTCACTTTTTCCTTTTCCTTTCATACATACATCGCTAAACTCATTTTGGGAAACTTTGTTGAAAAATCGGATGACAAATGACGGATGTGAAGTTTAAAAAAAGGAGATCCACCGACAACGACAAACGAGTTTAGTAGTTCTTTATAAAATCAATTATGACAAGTTTAGGGCAACTTGAAATGCTTTTAAATTAAAATAAACAAAACACTATTCGATTTCTCAATTTTGAAAAGAGTGACCGACTTTTTTTCTTTGGCGTTCTGTGTTTAATGGACTAGTTGAATGTCGCACAATAAACCCATTTTCTTATTGCCTAGTTAACATCCTGTTGTCTTAAAGACTCGCAATGTTTCTTTTAATTGACGAGCCGGTTAAAAACAAAACGGTTCCTTAAATACTTTAACTCTTTTCAAGTTTAGGAAGGCATTCTTTGTAAATACCAAGGCAGAAAAGAAAAAGCAGAAACATTCCTTAACACTAATCAAGTGAGCCACTCTTCTGCCAAGGAGGCATTTTTCTTATTTTTAAACCTGACGATCATTTGATCCTGTTTTGTATTGGGCCTATTCATTTCAGATAACTCATGAATTAATGGTTCAAAATGTTCAAGTTTGAGAACAAACACACAGAGAAAGAGAAAGAAAGAAAGAGAGAGAGAGAGAGAGAGAGAAACAGAGAGAGAGAGAGAGAGAGAGAGAGATGATAGTACCAAGTTGTTAGTAGATCTTAATTGTGCTAATTTAGAACATCAATTATTTCAATTACTCTTTAAAAGTTATTTATGCTGTACAACATGTTCTTCAAATATGACGTTTAAGAACTTGCAAAATAAATGAAATATTAAAAACTCACACCATGACTTTAAGATTGACTATGTGGTTCAACTTTCCTGATTCAGTAATAAGTGATCTACACATGTGCACACACAACACACGGGGAAAGAGAGAGAGAGAGAGAGAGAGAGAGAGAGAGAGAGAGAGAGAGAGAGAGAGAGAGAGGAGGGTGTAGTTAGTTAATCTTAATATCCCAATTTTGCTAAGTTAGTACACTAATTATTTGAATTAGGCTTTAAAAATTTTAAAATAAATTGCTCGTTTGTTATGTTGCTAAACACTATCTTCAAATATGACATATATGAACTAGAAAAATATATGCAATATGAAAAAGTAAATGTATGAAAATGAAAATATTAAAAACTCCACATCTGAACATATTTCAGTCTCCATGACCTTAAAATTGACTATGTTGTTCAACTTTCCCGATTTCAGTAATAAGTTATAAACAACCAATAACATTAAATTGCATAATTAATAATGACCTACACATATCGGACACATATAGAGGGGAAAAAAAGAGAGAGAGACGATAGTACAGAGCTGTTAGTTGTCCCTAATTGCAGTAAGTTAGTATATTAATTATTTGAATTTGTATTTAAATTTTAATCTTCTTATATAACATGCATAAACTTGAAAATTATATTAAATATAAAGAACTCCATAGGAACATCTTCCAGTTTCCATAACCTTAAGATTAACTTGGACTTTCCTAATTTTTGTGCTTGATAAAATTTCGCCATTTTTTAAATATTACGGACTATAAAACAGGTCCTATAGTTAGTCCAAAATCCTGTCTTTTATAATAAGCACGATAATATGACAGATTATTAAATACGCGATGACATAATGTATTGTCATAACTGCAACGGTACTGGGACTCGTCTCATCGCTAAATCCGAGCTAAAAGCACCCTTCAGAATTAGTTGCAGTCGAAGCTGCCCGTACGTGACGTACCGGCTTAAACATGCTGGCGTTACAAATTGAAAGAATACATAGCGAGATCACGGTTGGCCGTTCATTTCTACGTAAAAAGTATGAACAAAGGCATCGTACTAACGGACAAGACGTCAGCCTTATTAAAAGCCCAGAAAGCAATTACAGGCCGATAGTGAGATATGGTGGCCAGTCTCTAGGCGGGGAAAGGACGCGGCGGATCGCATGTCCAAGTAGATGACTGCCTGCAAAGCATAATACTCCGTTACACCATTAACTCTTTATCTATAAGTGGTTCAGTACGTAAGACTTCCAACGTTTACGTGTTTGTCTCTTCATCCTTATTAACCATATTTGCCACCAACAGAGCAAATAATAGAAAATATATTCATTTTTAGTATATGATCAATTTACAATGTGCTAGAAGGCTGTAGAATCTAGGTTTAAACAGTTGACAATGTAAAGCTTATTCTGCGAGTTGCGCTGTAGATATGCCAAAAGACGATTAAGATTGTGTGATTGTTTTTACTGGTTTTTGTTTATAAACATGTTTTCGTTTGCTGTCTCCCCCCATTGCAGAAATTACAATGGAGGTTCAATGGACATAGGTCGTGAGTGTCATTTTGCTATTTTCAAAACCGTTGACGTTCGTGCCCGACGTTTGCCTTAATTTCCGCATGACCCGGAAGGCACGATGACCTTCCTCCCGGCTAGGCCGACTCCTTTCGGCACGGCGACAAATTTTGCTTCACTTTCACGGTGAATCGATGAAATGACACTCTGTGATGACAGGCCCGAACGCCGAAAATTTTACGGCCTGAAAAATGACGGCCGATTTACAATAAAAGATTTCAAACGAATCAAATCTTTGACCTCCAACCTTACGAACACAAATAGAATTATCTGTTTAATTAATTAAATTATAAATATTTCGTCTTTTTCGTAGCATACCTCAGAACACCATACGGCCTAAGGTTGTAACCTTTAGAAATTCTTTGATTTTAAAGTAATTATTGTATAGTTTTGAAAAGGAGATTGACACTCTTACAACGGTACTAGGTAGGTGGTTAGTTTTTTGACTGAGCTCTATCACGTCCTCACATTGGACACAGGGACCTCTAGCCGGCCTGACCCGCTACCTTCCCGGCTAAACCCAATTCTCTACAGGGCTTATAATCCGAATTATCCTTGCCTCGACTCTTTATGCGTCACTTTTTGCTATCCTCGGCATGAAGAACCGTTTGTGGTATTATTTCCGCATTAAAAAATTCGAGTACAACGAGAGGAAGGTCAAAACGAAGGATTCATAAAAGGCTATCCTTTCATAGACCCGTGGTAATCTTTGAATAAAATATTGCAAAATTATTAAAATAGAGAACATTTATAACAAGCCTAATAATATAAAGCAAGAATTTACAAAAACAAGTTAAGGCAACAAAATAAGACTCGTCAAACCATTCATCGGATCTGAAATGACATAGCATGCCTATTACATTTGCATTTAGTACAATAAGATTTTTTTTTTCCAAAATTCATTATAAAAATAATTTCAGATCTGCCAACTACAATAATGGAAGTGGTGAATGCGATATGTCAGAAATGGACAGGCTGACAGTCGCCGGCTCTGGGGCGTTTGTTTCTGGCCAAGGGTATGACTACCTTGAAAATAACTGCGTTGAAGAACCAGTCAAACTGTGCGAATTCAAAAAGCTAAGTGGAAGAATCTTGAAGACTGTCGATTCTGTCTATCAAGAAGTAGACTCTCTTGAGGAATGCAAAGATCTCTGTCTCAACTCTCCGTTTAGATGCCATTCTTATGATTATGGAGACACTGGCGAATCCGTATGTCGTCTAAGCCACCACTCCAGGGCCACTCTTGCAGATATTCAAGTAAATATTTACATTTCTTTAATTGTAAATTATTGATAAGAAAGTTTAAATAATTTGTTCACTGAATAGGATCCTTATTTGGATGTTCCTGAGGCATCAACTTATGAACTGTCAGCCTGTTACAATGTCAGTATTGACTGCCGCTCAGGAGACATGGTCGCCAGGATTAAGACGAGCAAACTTTTCAATGGAAAGATCTATGCTAAAGGAAGCCCGAACTCCTGCGTTTCAGATGTTAAGGCCAGTCTGGACTTTGAACTGCACATGGCCTATGATGACATCGAGTGTAATGTTAAACACCAGGGCTTAGGTCGTTACATGAACGACGTGGTAATCCAGCACCATGACACAATTGTCACCTCTTCAGATCTTGGTCTTGCTGTTACTTGCCAGTATGATCTAACGAACAAGTCCGTTTCGAACGAAGTGGACCTCGGTGTCCAGGGAGACGTCAGGCCAGCTCTTACAGAAGAAGTTATAGTAGACTCGCCCAATGTCGCTATGAAGATCACAGACAGAAGAGGAGAAGAGACTTTGCCTTCGGCCCAAGTTGGAGACCCGTTGGCACTCAAATTTGAAATTCTAGACAAGAATTCGCCCTATGAAATATTTGTCAGAGAGCTTGTGGCTATGGACGGCATTGATAGCAGCGAAATAGTACTCATCGACTCTGATGGATGCCCTACTGACCACTTTATCATGGGACCTCTTTATAAATCTGCCGATTCCGGGAAGGTGTGTATATCTGATATACTAAAAGAATTACTGCTACTTTGAAAAATTAACATTCACAACATTATTTTTCATGATTAATGATTTTTTTTTATAAATCCTTCAAAATTTAATCTTCTTGTACTTGATTTTATGTTATTTTTTGTTAATACAAGTTGTGTTTATTAGGTATTAACAAATTTTAAGGGCAAGTAATATTGTCATAGAATGAACTATCCTTCAAAATATTATATCCTACCCCTCTGTTTTAAGCTAACAACTTTTTTCTTTTTTAGGTTCTCTTGTCATACTTTGATGCTTTTAAATTCCCATCTTCTGAGGTTGTGCAATTCCGAGCCCTTGTCACTCCTTGCATGCCAACATGCGAACCTGTACAGTGTGACCAAGAGGATGCATCGGGTGAGCTGAGATCTGTCAATTCATTCGGAAAGAGGAGGCGAAGGAGGAGAAGCACCGAACCCAGAGAGGACCTCCTGCTTGTACAGAGCATTCAAATTACTGATAAATTTGGATTCAACAAACGAAACTCGTCCCAATCGAAAGAACCTTCGACAGTGTTTATGGCGAGCACAAATGGATCTCAGAGCGAGTACTGCCTCAACCTAGCTGGACTCATCATTTCAACGGTTGTATTCTTGGGCGTTCAGATGGCTATAATAGTCGCATGGGTTTTCGTTTGGTCTAGAAAAAGACAATCAAAGATGTACCATGACTCAACCTCAACAATCAGCATCCCAGCAAGAACAGACAGTCTTTGTAAACTTTATGACACAGGCTATGCCAGGAGATTCTAGTGCCATCCAAAATACCGTTGTCATTAGTCTAGGAATCTTTTAATACATAAATTATAAAAACAAATCCACAAAACAGTTCGGGACAATACAGGTAATTTAAAAATGCTGTTTGTAAATAAAAGGTTTTATGCAGTGTCCTTTCTTAAAAAAAAAAAAATTTAAATGAACTAAGTATTGATCCAAACAATATAGGTTTAGTGAAAATTCTCTTAGATTAAGTATAGGTTTCTCTTGAAAATATGTAATGTAAAATTGTTAATTAAAACAGATCATTACTTAGTACTTTAGGTTAGTTCACTGCATAATAAACCAATTAAATTAAAGGAAGGGTCTTGACAATTGGTCATTTGTGCATTAATTTCTTAATATTGCAGTTTCATGAATGCCAAACCCTACCGATAATTTGGTTCCGGTGGTAGATTTTTAAAGAATGCCAAGACTTAAAACTATTTAACTTAATTATTTTTATACTATGTCTGTGAAAATTAATTAAGCTTTTAATTTTTTTATTAAATGTAACTGGAGGCAAGGATAACTTTTGAACAAATATTTTAGAGAGTCTGTGATGTGTGAATGTCCTTTTATAATGCTTTTTTTTTAATATTGAAATTCTATTTAATGGTTCGATTCTTGTCCTTGTCTCAAAATGGTCCAGACCAAAATGAAACTTTTGACTGAGACTACATAACCCTGTTTCTATTTATTGCAATAATTAGTTAATTATTTATTTAGGACAAAATTCAATTTTTTATACAAATGTACTCTTTTTTACTACTTGACTATGTAAGTAATAATAAAAGTATTTTAATTTGTGATTTTTTTTTAATATATATAATATATAATTTTAATAAAACCTTGTCTTTTATCTCCTTGATAAAGTTGATCAATTCAAAAAAACCTCGAGTTAAAATTTCTTGAGTGAATGGGTTCCACCAAAATTTTCAATTTAAATTAGAAACTAGAGAAAACTCTCCCGTGTATTTTAATTGTGTAACACATCAATAAATAGAAATTAAAATTGTCAAATTTCCTCTTGATCTGCTAAATGGTCAAATAAAACTCAACTAACTGCTGAATAGAATGTGGAGTTCCTTTCAGGGTTCTGCTAGATGATAAACTTGATCTTGTGACCACTTCGGCTTACCAAATCTGAACGGTTTGGTATGTCGAAAGCTTTTCCACTAGTCAATATCTGTCAGACCAAAACAGCAACCAGAAATACAACATGACCAGAAACAACCAAACTAGAAAAATTCAAATGCTATTTCAATTTTTAGTGTAATATTTTTATCCTGGTATTTCGGGTGTAATCGCTTTGGTATATTTTACTTTTAGGCATATTTTAATCATCATCTCAACCTAAGTGATGTGAGAAGTTGCTCTTACTTTCTCTCTTTTTTTATTTTTTGTTTTTTTTTAATATGAAGGTATATATAATAATATGAACCCCCGGGTTGCCGGATAGTGGGCATAAAAAAGCCCATTTGTAAGTATGTTGGGTTCAAATCCAGCGGACCTGAATTTGACCTGTACTTGCACTGATGAGTGCCGTGAGAGTTTTGAACAATGTCAATGATGAATTGGGATTATGAAAATTATGAATGTTTTTTATAACAGAGCCCAGAACTTTAAGAGCTTCTTTACTGATAATATACTTCTTAAATTCCAACTTGCTATCAAACAAGATTCCCAAGACTTTGACACAGGACACTCTGTTTAGTGAAGTATGAGAGAATTGTGTTGGTAGAACAATTAAAGTAAATTACTGAGCATTACTACAATTTAATTTAAATAGTTAATTTAACACCAGAAACTAAGTTTAACAATAGGTTGCTACAAGAGAAGAGCATCTTGTATTATTTTATAGAGAGGAGAATTTTAAGATCTTCAGTATATAATAGAAAGTATATATAGCAGAAAAAAAGGACTCTAGGTAATTTATAAAGATTAAAAATAATAAAGGGCCTAAATGTGATCCTTGTGGGACTCCAGATGTAAACTGAAATTGGTTTTGATTAAAATGATTTTTTTTTCTTTTTTTAATACGAGGGTATTTCAACTTCAAGGTTATATGAACCCTCGGGGTGCTGGGGTTTTTGAAAAAAAGCCCATTTGTAAGTATGTCGAGTTCGAAAGCAGGGCCACTGAAATCAAACCCAGGACCTTTAGCTTACAGTGATGAGCGCCATGTCAACGCCTAAGCCGTTGTGGCCAGTGACATCCCTTTTCTACAAATTAGAATAATAATAGGAGACAGCACTTAATAAAAATAGAAATATTTTATTGTAAAAAAAAAAAAAAAAACTCCGAGACTAGAACAAAAGCCGCCTAGGAGATTTTGGTACTTCCCACAGCAAATTAGGCATTTTTAATATATATATACACTCACATGCCGTGTTCAAATTTGTAGTAGGATTTATAAGTGGGACATTTTGAATTAATAATAACAATATTGGCAAAAGCTCAAAAATCAATTTAAACCTTTTTATCCTTTCAATTATCAGTGACATTTTTATTACACTCACCTAGAACAAAAGTAAACATCATTTAATATTAATTTTCTGCAATAAAGAAATGAAGCACTCAGATTATTACCTTTAGTCGCAGGTCGGTGGCACCCCACACCCTCGTGGCGAAGTCATTGGAAGCGCCGAGTATAAAACTACCATTCGTGTCAAAATTCACGGACATAACACTTGCATTACTGCCAACAAGCTGGCCTTTCGATTCAGCTAATCCTGAAAAAGTAAAAATACATTTAAAATGATTAAAACCTTAATTTTTTAAAAATAAAAATTAGTTTTTCTGGTTCCATTTTTTCCTTTTAATTACAAATTGAGGATTAATTTGAAATGCATTCAAGACCTAAAATGGCCCACTCACTGGGACTCGCGGCGTTTAAGATGGCGAAATTTTGGCGTCTGGCGTAAGACTTGGTGATTGGGATGATGGGGTGAGAAGCTAGGTGCCAGGAGTCCGGCACCTCGAATATCGGGTACGTTTACATTGATTCCGAGTTTGACCGATTTTTAACTCTGCCGAATATGGCCGTTAACGGGCATACAACCAAAACTAATAGAACGGACTCGGCCGACGAACTCTACCGACGGCCGTTTTATGTTTCATCATATTTTCGTTGTGTTGGGAGAACAATGTATGAAATTCATCTGTTACTCCCTAACCAGAAAAATATTAACCCATTCACGGCTGCTAAACAGCAAGTATTCGGTCAACATTTCGAGAACTCCAATCTCGTCCGTATTTGTATGAAGGGTGACGGAGAACTGACGAAAAATCGGTCTCCAAGGGATTCGGGCCAGTGTAACCGCTTTCGTCGGCAGAAAGGCGCTTTAGGCGTCCAAGCGAGTGAGCCGGGCGTCTTATGACAAAGGTTAGACAAAGTTTGTTTGTTTAATTATTCAATTTGGACAGCCCCTTTGTATCAGTTCTCAAGAAATGGAAGCAGATAAATTGTTTTTCAGTCCTGAAATTTTATTAGAGTTCATTGAGTTCATACAAAAACCTACCGTGCCTATGTTAATAATTTCATGACAGGACGATGTAAACTGAGGCACCAAAGCGAATTGGGGCGTCATCACCGCGAATGGGCGAAGGCGCCAAAAAACCGGCATCTCATAGGCCGGGAGTCTTCAAGAGTGGGGAGGACTTTAAGAACTACAATAAACTAAATAATAATTTGTAAATTAAAATACGTCCGACAGACCTACACAGTAATAATAGACAGGCCAAAATGATCAGTAATGACCAAAATACAATGACTTTTTTCAGTTTAGTCCTTTCTAATCATTTAGTCATGGTCTACCTACCCTTGTTTTGGCCAGGTGACTTTCAGCTTATCATTAGTTTCAATGGTGTTAGTGTGATCAATGATAAAACAGACCCAGCATCGAAACACGCTCCAAAACTATCAGGAGATCAGAAACTGTCATCAAAGATCAGAAATGACCAAAGTACAATTAAGGTGAGTAAAAGAATTGTAAGCTAGTCTCTCTGTCTTAGAATAAATTGTAGTTGTTAAAATAAAAAAATTAGCTTAACCACACAGAATTAGCTATAAACTGGATGGGGCGATCACCCGGATGGGAACTACTTGACGCCCCCACAATTCTAGGAAACATAACTGCAATAATTAAGCAGTTGGTCAAAGAGTGTCGTAGCACAGACAGGAGCAACGTGACGTTTCTCATAAACAAGGAAAACCTAGCCCTGCAATAATTACCCAGTTGGTCATAAAAATAACAAAGATGAAGGGTGTCACAGACCCAGACAGGAACCACAGGATGTTTCCCACAAACCTGGAAAATACAAAGATCGAATTGTAGGACAACTGATCAAATAAATAACTAACATCGAGATATTTAGTGCTAAAGAGTTGTCACAAGGCCAAAAACATGGGACATAGAAAATTAGGGTCACGTCAACCAGGTGCACATCACCTGTTCGCTGGTCACTCCCCCGACTTTTAACTTTCCTTTCCACTCTTACACCGGTAGATAAACTGGTACATAAAGGGATGAATTGGTAATCAAAAATTGGTCTAGTCCAAGGGCTCATGCCAGTGAGTCTAGACCAGTGGTTCCCAAACTTTTTTTATAAAAATTACAAATTTAAAAAAACGTTTTGTTGAAGAAGTATTTTTGAAATTATAAATATATATAAATTATAATATTAATTACTTTTGTTTAAAATAAAATGTAAAAACATTAATGACTTGGATGAATGTGATGAGATGTTATGAGTGTATAATTTCTAATCGGTTTCTTTCTTTTGTGATGAGGTTTATAACGGCACTGAATCCACTTTCTACCAAATAGAAAGACGGGAAAGCAGTTAACAACTTCTGTACAATAACCCATAATGCAGGATATAAAATTGGGATCTGTTTTTGTAAACAGAATTTGTGGCATCCTTGTTCAAACATTGGTTTAAGTTCCTCATTTGTGGACATTTCAATAAGCTGCTCCTGTATTAGTACGGATTCATCTGTGTTTGGGATGTGAGTTTGTCCTTGCGCAAAAGGGTTCAACACGAAGTCAGGAATATCCAAGTGAAGAATTTCTTCAAATCTTTGGTTAAGGTCTGTATGAAGACCCGTTAAGTGTTGACAGTAAGCAAACAACTTCATCTCTAATTTGCAATTTCAAAAGATTTGAAACAGAGCATTCTCCTCTTCCCACATTTTGTTTGTAAAGAAAAAGTTTTGCAACAAACGCAGATATTACGCTTTTAGTTTTGATTAAATTTAATTGGTCACCTTGTAGTTTCAAATTAGTTTCGTTAAATTTGGCAAATAAATCAGACATATAGGCTGTGTCATTTTTTGAGTTAATTAAATTATGTTGTAAATCATTGTCTTTGGTTTCCAGGAATTCCAACACTGAATCAAAGAGCATCTAAAATCAATTTAAACATGCACTTTTAGATAACCAACGTACTTCTGTTTTATATTATATTATTTTATATTATTATTTATATTATATTATTTTATATTAAACCTTGTGCGGACCCCCTGACGTTGTTCAGAGACCCCCAAATCAATTTTAATTTTCCCGGACCCCCTGAATGATATCGGGGACCCCTGGGGGTCCATAGGGACCACTTTGGGAATCCCTGGTCTAGACCAATGGCCCAAATCAGTGAACAGTCGACTCCATGAGTCAATCTGGAAGAGAAGCAGCCATACTCCATCTGGAACTCATCAAGGGGACTCAGCCAGCCAAAGCTATTGACTCATTGGATCAAGTCAACAGTCCAGAAACCGAAAAGGCACTGATAATGTTGTGATCGTGGCAAGCTTTGATTGGGTTGAATCCCTTTGTTAATCGATTCATATATTAGAGTTGTGGCTGACTTATTAAATTAATTAGGATTTTGTTGTGGTTGTGTACCTTAAAAAGGGGAACTGTGTTCAAATAAATGTTTGAGAATATCTGGTTTATTAAATTCTCAAATCTCACCTTCCCTACACAAAAATAAGTAGCGAGGTGCTTACACCGACTACTCTCTTATCACTTAGAGAAAAGCAAGCAAATGTGGGGATTGTTCGGCCGTCATGCCATCTTTGCCATTTACACAATTATCGTTTGAAGAGTTAAAATAAAATTTATTTTATGTTTCCAACAAATTAAATTAAATCATGGAAATATTCTATGGCTAACCCAGTTTGGCTAGCTTCCTCTAATCCCTGGTGATAGCAATCTGTGGATTTCAATTGGCAAAAGTCTTTTATTTCAGATTTTTTCTTCAAGTACAATGCTTTTCACTTAAACAAGTATCCAAGGTCTATACTAAAACATTGGGTGTCGTAGAAGTTTGACTCCATCCATTTCAGAAAATTTTGTCTTTGTATGTTGGAAATTTAGCAAATGCCTAACTAAAATATTTTGCTTCAGATATTCATCACATTAAGACTTAAAATTGGCAGAACACCTTCAAACTCATTCCAAGTTTAAAAATAAAAAATGTAAAACACTGAGAAAAGCATGGTAATTTTGTACGATTGAAAGCTGAACTTTAAATCTATCCATTGTCCTGATTTGTAAGATTCACACCAGTAAAGCCCTTTTTCTTTTATTGCATGTTTACAAAGATTTATTGACCAAATTATTGCATGCAGTACAAATTATTAATATGTTTTATAGGGTAAAGTAGCAGAGCCATACAACTTCCTCATGCAAGCAGTGCATGTAAAGATTTAATTTTATATAAATTAAGTTTTCAATTTATCACATTGATTGTGTGAAAAATTATCATGCAAAAAACCTCAAAGCATTGAATTAATTCTTAATGAAATATAATATACAATAAATAAGTAAATGTCTTTGGTATTTAATATATGTAACTATATGTATATTAAGAGTAAGATCATACTTCTACAGGATCATTTCTGTAGTAGATCTTCACAAAATCCGGCTACAACAGACAAATATATGTATTTGTTGCGCACAATAAATAAATATATAAAGATTTGTTGCAGGTAGTAATTCTCGGATTTTGGAGAACCTGGCATGTTCTAACATGTGATCAGCTTGACGCGGTTTGAGTACATGTGAAACTTTTACTAGCTTGCGTAAGTAATAATTTACACTTGACTGTGACAATCCTAACTTGTTTGACATTCTTCACTTGAGCTTATTTATGATCGGCAACATTGGAAACCCATAAAGCCTCACTGTTCAATATCAAAGTTCTCACCCTAAATCTGGCTCTCTTATAACACAACTTTCAAAATTTTTCACAAAAGAATCTCCACTCTACTTTAAATTCACAAAATGCATGTTTACACTGGCAGTAAATTTTCTTCTCCAATAATGTCACAATGTTGTTACTAAAATTTCATACTTAAAAAAAAATAGTAAGCTTAATTTTCTTTTCTTTTTTTAATTAAAGACAGTAAGTGTTACAATAAGATGACAAAGAGGGGAAAAAGGTTGGTTTTTTACACTCCCTTTTAATATGTTTTATTCTTAAAAAAAAATAATAATAATAAGTTCAAGCCAGTTAAAGTATACCTTTTGATATATCCCAAAGTTTTACTTTTCGATCAGTACCTCCAGTGGCAACAATTTTATCAACGGGACTCCACTTAACAGCACTGATTTCACTTTCATGAGCATCCTGAAAATTAAAAAAACAAAAAGTTTTTAATATGCTATTACACATTGAGTCTTACTATTGAAATTTTATTTTTTCTGAATATATTATCAAATATGTATTTGATATTTTTTTATATTTATATCATATTTTTCTTATATGATAAAACGTTTTGCAACAGCAGAGGTAATGTCAACCCCGGAGATGTGTTTTTGGAAAAAGCCCATTTGCAAGTATGATAATTTTGAATCTCAGTTGCCCTGAATTTGAACATGGGACCTTTACAGCGATGAGTTGCCGTGTCAATGCTTTAACTGTTTCTGCCACCGACACCCTCAAGGCAACTTTATATTGTTAAAATATTGGGTTGTCCGGAAAATAATGCAGGATTTTAAGTTTTCATTAAAAAAAATCTATATCAAATATTCTGTTTACGTTTACAGGATTACTCATTTGTATGAATGTCAACACTTATTAATCCTCTTCCAAATGATATTGTTTGTTTACCTCTGTAGCANATGGGAAATTATTTTGATTAAAGAACATTGCTTTAAAGTAACTAGTTTCTTTTTTTTTGTTTAATACCAAAATCCTGCATTATTTTCCGGACAACCCAATATTTTTCTTGACTCTAATTCAAAACCAGTTTCATTTCTTATAAGCTTTTGCACGTAACACAATGCAAACAATTTATTTATGATAATGTAGTTTTTATAAGCGAGTGACAGATATTGACAGCACTTACAAAGCTGATAGCGACAGTTGTTGGCACGGCAGATTTATCAGGTATTGCACTATCGGGTACGTAAGGTTCAAGTGGGATAGATTTGGAACTCTCTTTGGCTGCCTCTTCTAATTCTTTTTGAATCTTTGCATATCGTTTCCTGAAAATTAGCAGACCAATGATAGGTCGATTGTAATGGAATTGCAACAAAAAATACAATCCTTGAAAACAAAAAAAGGAAGAAGTGAACTAACTTTGATTTTATTTTCCACCCAAACATATAGTGGTAATGTGGAAGTAGCTTCCTGTAAAATCGTGAGGGAAAAAAATCAAAGCAATTTTATTAAAAGTGAGAGGAAAACCTAAATGATTTCAATACTGAAAATTTGAGTGCTGTTGAAAAAAAAAGCAAAACAAAGGGTTAAACAAGAAACATCATGCAGACATGCATTAAATATATTATTCTTTTCTTTTACTTGAGAAAGTTGTCATTTTCCTCATTCATTTTTTCTGCATCTTTAGATTTATATTTCATCAAACGATCGACCAGCTGTGCATTTTCTTCCTATAAAAATTAAGTCAAATATCAGATCGCTTAAGAAACAAACAATCAAAATTAATTTATATCAAATGTTACCTGATATTTCCTCAATTTTTCTTCCAGCTGTGAATAGGCGAGCTGTAATGCAGTGTGTTCATCCCTTATTAACTGGTTAGCATTTTGAAGCTCTGATTTTTCTGCCATATGCCTTACAATGTCATTAAATAGTTGTGTGTTTTTTGCTACCGCTTCCGTTAAACTGTAAAGAAAAAAATTGATGAATAATGAAAAGAAAAGAAAAATTAGAAGACACTCACTTCTGTTCGACCTTTTTTAACATGGCCTCTTTCTCTTTGACCTGTCTGTTCAAGTCGACAACCATGTGCATGTTATCTCCTCGAGCCTTGTGTAGTTCAGTCAGTTCCACCTGCTGGGCCATCAGCTTGCTCTCAAGTAGGGAAATCCTCTGCTCAGCAGCTCGATTGGTACCATCGGTACCTCCAGCCGCACCCTCCCTGATGAGATTTTCATTCTCTTGTCTGAGTTCATTTTGAACCTCGAACAATCTATTATCTAGAAAAAAAGAGAGGAACTTTACAAAATTGAAAATTATACAGAGAAATATCAATGGACAATAAATATAAAAATAATTTTGAAATAGATTTTCAAAAATCTACTTTTCTAATTCTAAAAAAATGAATGAATGAAGAAAAAGAACAAAAACCGGAATGGTTGTCCAAAAAAATAATAATTTACTTCCCTTTCAAATTAATTAGTGTTACGTTATAATTTATAGGTCATACATAAGGACACTTAACACATCATCTTGGTTATTTAAAAGAATACATTTTATTTAATTTGTGATAGGTTTTCTCTTGTAGAATTTTACTGGTACTAATTCAGCAGTTTAAATTTATTGTAATTAGTTTTCACAAAAACAATTTAATTTTTTTTAAATAATTTTAAAAAGTGAGGGATTTAGAACATCTAAGTATGGTGGAAATAAAAGAAAAAAACTTCTGAGTAATTAAGATTTAAATAATGATTTTTCATGTTAATCTTCTGCTGAATAAACACAAGAGAAGTCTGATAAACAAATGAGGCCATTGCCATTTTTAAATTAAACAATTTTGAACAAAATTAGTGATGCTTTTAACTAATAAGTTTATTTGTCAATGTACATATTATCTATTAAATTATGTAATAAATAATTTTACTATATTGAGAGATTTCCCCTTGAGGTCTGCAGTGTTATGAAACAGTAGAATATCATTTTATTAAATACATACAAATATGTAATTAAATTTTGAAATTATATGAGCTTTTAGCAAGTTTTACTTCATATTAGTTTGGCCTTTTAGTGTATCAAAAATATTTTTAGAAAAGTATGCATAACAATTAAAATATTTTTACAGCAGAACTGTCTAAGAAGTACATTGGACTGTTGCTAGTCTCAAAGAATATAACAAGTTGGTGCTCTTTTTACGGTTACCTGCCATAGAAGGAAATTAATTAGCTGATCAGGCTATAGTAAAGTAGCTAGAGAACGTGTCAACATAGAATCAGATGTCATTTCTATAAAAGCAAAATATACTCAAACTGGGAAGAAATATGGGCAAACATAACAAATAAAGTTGAGTGAGATCAAAGCCACTATATCATGGCTTTCTTGTTGTTGAAAAAGAGTACAATTAACGTTGAAACATATTTTAACTGATAATTATAAAGCATTGAGGATGCAATGCTCTTTGTCAAATAATCTTGCTTATATATTGCGGATAATGCAGGGAATACCTATATTAATTTATTGAATAAAATATGAAGTTTTTTTTCACTAGGTTCACAAGGATTATGCAGCCCACAAATCTCAAGTACTACATACGCACTAAATTTCAAACTAAAATCATTTCATTAGTGCAAGAGGCTACTTTACTACAGCCTGATCAGCTAATTAATTTCCTTCTACAGCAGGTAGCCATAAAAAGAGCACCAACTTGTTATATTCTTTGAGACTAGCAACAGTCCAATGTACTTCTTGAACAAGTCTGCTGTAAAAATATTTTAATTGTCATGCATACTTTTCCAAAAATATTTTTGATAGACTAAAAGGCCAAAATAATGTGAAGTAAGGCTTGCTAAAAGCCCATATAATTTTCAAAAGCTGTTTGTATGGTGGTCCTGCTGAGGGTGGCACTCTCCCCCTGTTAATGGTCGCTTGCATACTAGTATAAAAGAAAAATATTGTTTGATGTCAAGACAAACATAAACTAAATGGTTGACAGCCTTTAACATCATTTTTTTAAACAATTAAATTAAAAGGAATGCCATAAAGGATATCAGTACATAGTTGTAAAAGCAAGGGAAGGAAGATCAAATAGCTGACCACAAATTGAGTTTTATGAGAAATCACTTTTCTCTTGCCTAAGAATTTTTTTTTTCAAAATTATTTTTCTGTAGTTCTAAGTAGTTGTATCGATAGTTCTATAATTTTCTTCAATATTTTTAAATATCAACTTTAAACAATGGCAAATAGCCTCTACACTTCCCGATGCACCAGTTGCATACTTATTGTATCATTAATCGGAAACATCCATATCTTTTGTCGATGAAAAATAATTTAAATAATCAATAATAGCCCTGACATGATTTACAATATTTATTTTTTGTACTTTTTAAAGATAGGTCAATAAAAATCTTCATTGGGACGTCTTCGTCTCTCAGAAAAGGCAATCCGATTCCGTAAATTGAACCCCAATTAACAGTATCGCATTGACGAACAGTAACTCGGTCAAGTGTCACGGTGAAAAAAAATATATATATCAAGACAAGTGGGCTGTCAACAAGTTCAAAGTTGGAAACCTTAAAACAACATTCCATACCAAAATGAAAAGATTTTTGAAAATGAAAAGTACAAAAATCGGAAATATTCTCCAGTCTTTTGAACTGACGAAAAACGCAGCCATTTTTATCAACAAAACCTAATTTTTTCTTTGAGATTATTTCTATAATATCTTTAAATCGCTTACTTCAAAAACGTAAACCACGAAATAGTAAAATGGTATAGTTTCCGTTTTCGAAAAGTTTAATGTGGAGATAATTATTAATAACAATTGTATCAATAGTGGGTCGATACAACTGCCTGACAGATCACAAAAAGGATAAGCAGCACAATTTTATTTTTGAAAACGCTACACATCAAAGCCATTGTTGGTGTCACAGTCATTCTGGGCGCCATGTACTTTGGTTGGTCAGGGTCATAAGCAAGGAGAGACTCTTTCCTTGGGAATTTAGCTTGAGTTTTGTCTTCTCGTCTTTTCTAATACCAAAAGCGGTAACATTGCCCCCTCCGTAACTTGGAACATCGAGAAAGTTGTGGAGGATTAAGCTTAAAATTCAGATGACAAGGAAGTCTCTTACTTAAGCAGCGGAAAAGAAAAATTGGTATAACGTAGTTTAATCTTTTTTCAAAACTTACTCACAATTTGTTGTTTCCAATGATAGGGATATCACGCTTAAAGCTCATCGTCAGGTTGTAGGATTTACAACTACGTTTCTCGACAAGACTTGTGGTTGTAAATCCTTCAACTTGATGATGAGCTTTAAGCTTGAAATCCGGACGTCGAAAACGACAAACTATGAGTAAGATCCAATTTTTAAAAAATGAAACAACATACTCACCCCACCTTCATCATCTGTATTAACGGTACTCTTTAATTATAGAAAACAAGAAAAATCCACCATTGGGGAAAATGAATTGCATAAAAATAGTTAATACAGAAGCCATTTTATGATTTACCTAAACAAAATTGTGGATCATAGCTCAAAACATTTTTATTACCAACTTTATCGAGAATTTAGAGGTTCTGAATGCCGCAAACAACCTAATGTCCGAGTAAAGGTCTCTAAATTTTTAGCTTAAATATAAGTGCGTGTACTTTGATTTTCAATTTTAATTTTAAACTAAAGAAGAACAATTTTAAAGCTTTCAGAAAACAACAAATAGTTTAAACAACTTTTTTTACGACCTTGCACACTTCAGCTTTCGAATTCCCCTACAAGGTAAACAACGAAACTTCGACTTGCCTCATATATTAAATCTTTGAAATCTACCTTCGGTCACTGGAGAAATTTCGGTGCTTATATTTAAAAAAAAAAAACACGTTTGTTTGTGCCCGATCACTAGTTTTATCATGTAAAAGCGTCCGATTCTCGCATTTGTCACGTGCGGATGTGTGTCCGAGTCCGGACTTAACAAAAATCAAAGAAAAAGCTTTTGAACTTAAAAGGGTTATACAGAGCAGACTGCATCTGGAAAGGCTTCCCTTGCAGAACTCGACAGCAAATAATGTGATTGTAGTTCAGCAAAACAAAACGTCGAGATCTGGTCATGGGAAAAATGGGCCCAGGAAGAAGGTAGAGGAAAAACTGTTTCATTCAAAAATGTAAATGTTCCAGTTGGAAAACTGTTTCATCAGCTGAATCCCTCTTTCCACTACAAAATGGGAGTTCAATTAAATAAAGACTTCTGGAACATTTGACTCCCACAGCTGGGAGAATCTGACCACTTTCTCTGTAGGTAACTTCATCTCACACAGAAGACTGTTAGGCACATTGCCCTCTGGAGCGATGCGATAGTGATGCAACATGAAGCGATTTTTAATAATAAAAGGAGCGAAGTGACAAGTGATACGATATCATAGTACCTTTTTAAGTAAACTGTTATGTAGGCTGATCATGTGGCCTTACTGGCACTCTCCTTTGGTCTATAATGAACGAAGAATATTCCTCGGTTAATATAAGCACGTTTTAAATTTGCCCTCGTTCGTTAATTAGAATACACTTTATCTGTGTGGTGTTTAGTGACCGTTAGTAATGATTATTTGATGATCGTGAAATGCGGTATGGTGTGACGTAGGTTATAGAAAAACATTTTCTTTACCGTGCCAACGTTGAGATCATCTTCATGTTTTCTGCGTAATTGTGTCATTTTTGTGGGTCGGGTTGCGAGTGCGCATTTATCCCAAATCATACATGACGTTTTTATTACCTGTCCTTTTAGATTTCTTAACTACGTAAGCAGTAGTATGGTCGTTTATGATTTCTGTCAGACAGACCAAGATGATCGAAAACGTTTAAGTAACTCGTTACTAAATGTGTAAGGGATTTCTTCTGCTTCTATGCAGAGTCTATCCATTCTGCCGTCATCGATACCAATTTAAATCAGATCAACAATATCGAAAATAACCAAACAGGTTTATCATTCCCCAGACCTCAACCTCAATTTCACAATAATTATTGTTATGAATAGACTTCATATTTAACATATTGTAGTTTGATCAACTCCGATCATTCTGGTCTGCCATCTCCCGTGGTTGGTTAGGGTTATAAGCAGGGAGAGACAATGGACTGACTCCTTCCATGGGAATTTTGCCACATCTCTTCTGGTACTAGCAGCGATGATACCGTCCGTAAATTCGAACTATCAGGAAATTGTGGAGAATTAGTTTAAAACTTAAATGTCAAGTAAGGTTTTAAAAAGCAACCTTGTATATGTGCGATCATCCCTGGAAGAG